ATACTCGTCTTAGATTTTTTTGTGGATCTTGCCGCCTTGTTCTATGTTGACCGATATTTTCGGTAAAAAGTCAACTATTGGTACGGGGGTCCACATATTCGTTACCTAGGGGCTTGAACAGTTTTGGCTCAATTTAGATAATTTTCGGTCACAAGGTGGCATACTTTAAACGTATTATTCACGCAAAGTTTGACGCCGATATAATCATTTTGTTGCTTGCTTTGCATACTGGAAAGTGAAAAAATCAAGTGGAATTTAAAATGGTGTCATATAGAAAATAGGCGTGGTTGTAATCCGATTTCGCCCATTTTTGCACCATAACATAGAAATATAAGAAGAATATTTTGTACTGAATTTGGTTGAAATCGGTTAAGCAGATCCCAAGATAAGGGGTTTCACCTAAAAGTGGGCGGTGCCACGCTCACTAACGAATTTTGAACGTGGTTCCTATAAAATCATCTTATACCATCCCAGAGATACAATTTAATGTCTCTGGCGTGTTTGGTGCTTGATTTATCGCGCTTTTAGTAGTTTGTAACAGTACCGTTATATGGGGAGTGGGCGGGGTTGTCACCCGATTTCACCCATTTTCACACCGTCGATAGAGATGCTAAAAACATTTGTTTCCAGAGAATTTTGCCTCAGTGGTATAGGAGATATGCACTTTAAACTTAGTAGCGGGCGGGACCACGCCCACTTAAAAAATTTTAACAGCAGATTCCCCTCCCTAATGTGATTCTGTGTACCAAATAACAGTCTTGTATCTTATTGCAGAGCTTAGTTATGGCAATTTATTCGTTTTTAATTAATGGCGTTTTGTGGGCGTGGCAGTGGTCCACCCATCTACGCCCATCTACAATACCAACCGTCTTACGGTACCAAGAAACATTAGTTTTAGGTGATACAAATAACCGTTAGGTGAACAAAACAATTTCTCTGTAGCAACAAGTTGCGAGAGTATAAAAATCTTATCTCAAGCATATAGTTAAGAATTAAAAAATAATTAGTTTTAGAATTAATATTTTTTGCGTATATTGCAAACAAAAAATTATATTTTCAATTTAAAATTTTTGAATTGAACCAATGACCAATAAGAAATTAAATTTGTTTCATTTACTGAATAAATGAGAAGTTAATATTGTTTAAAATATTTTTATTATCTTACAATACATGTAGGTTATTAAAGAATTTTTATCATTGAAACTATAAGTTTATGGTAACTGAAATAAGAAATATAAGGTTGAGATTTAATATCTTCTAAATATTTAGAAAATACCGTGTCAATGGTGGTCCCATATTTTGTTGTGGATTCTTGCGGATCATTATTCATTTTCAAATTCAATTTTTCCGAAAGAAAAGTTGTCAACCGCTCTGATTTTTTATCAGCGAAGTTGATGTTGCCAGCCAAGATAAGTGCAAATTGATAATCCGATTGAAATACCTAATTTCAATTGTATTGTTCAATTCAAACGAGATACTGTTCCAAAAGGTAGTGTAGCTATTTACCAAAATAATAATAATGTTACTAATATTATGACTCCGAATATTGAATAATTTATTTGTTATTATTTAAATTTTTATTAAATGCCATATTTTTATTTGCCACTAAAAAAATTGTAACTGCATATTATTTTTGAATCCTCCTGCTCTTCAATTTATTTGTTCCGTTTGAAATATGCGAAAATACGCCTAAAAGTATGCGAACATTTGCGCATACTTTGTGATCGTGTTAGGTTTATTTCCGTTACGGAATTTCTTGATTCGGTCGCCGCGCTCAAAACCTGCGATAGAAGCTATGCAATAGCTTAAAATTTTTTTTTAATCTCAAACTTTTGAGTTAAAAAATTCGCAACCTTGGTTTAACACTTTAAGCGTAACCCTTGTACAATGCTTTTCTCCACCCACTGAAAAAATTCCAATGATTAAATATTAACAATAACTAATTCAAATTGTTGCTAGCTTATGGAACTCTTCGTACTTTTCCAAAGTTGGGAATTTTTTTTAACAAACACTCCTCTTTTTTGTGAAAAGCAGGAACATTAAAAACGGTCTCAGATCCCGCAAAGCTGAATGAGATTAACGAATATTTTAATGATAGCATTCTTTCACGTATATCGCTATTGTACCTCGTCATTTACATGTCATCCAAGAAACTTATGCAGCCAAATAAATTTTGATTGTTGCAACTCTTATTATTTTGTGAAAAACTATACAGTTATTGTATGCATATGTAGGAATGTAAGGCCCCATTTAGGGTAATAACATAGGGCTCACATGAAGTACTCTTTTCAATGTGATACAATTATTGATGTTCGTATAAAATAATATTTTCTTGTAAATAATTTTTTTTTTTTTTATTGTTTTATGCTTATAATCCACAAATATACACAGATTTTTTAATATTCTTAAGTTGTTTTGTCCACACGATATGCAGGTTTCGTCGACAACGAACTCGTTTTAACAGTTTAACAGCCCGCTGCTTACGAAACCCGAGTTCAGCATGGATTTTTTTTATAAGGAGAGTTGACTTTTCATTGCATAAGCCCGATGTATTTATTTAAGCACTCATAATCGCTTCACTCACTTCCGCATTTTTTCTCGTTATATACATATTCACACCGTTTTTAAATTTATCTCACGCTATAAAAATATGTATTACTCTAATTTAAATTAAAGTTATCAAATATTTAAAGTTAATTTTTGTGCTATTTTTCTCTCTTTGCTGGTATAAATTTCACAGTTCATCAACAACATTAAATTTCTCAAAAACTATGTTCACTAAATATTATTACACCTTTTATTGTCATTTCGCACTTCATCTTATTTCAGCCGCAGAGTTCAGTGGTATTTTTTATTTTCGTCCGCTGCTGCAAAAGAGAGTAACCGTAAAATATGTAGTTAAAATTTTTTTATGGCATTTTGTTTTGCTGAAAAATTTTCATTGTTTTTGTGATAAAATGCTTGCACATAAATTTGAAAAGTAAATAAACGCCACATTCGCACCTTGCCACATGTGGTTGCAGCAAATATGCGAAGTAGTTTGTTAGAAGCAACAGACAGCGAACTAGTTTGCTAGCCAAATATGGTTTTCTATTTGAGTTTTCAGAGAGACACTCATATAAGTGTATAAACAACGTCTGCTTCAAGGTGTTTATGGCCAAAAACGAGCTAAGCACCACAGGAGTTGTTATAATGATGTTCTTTTTGTTGTATTGTATAAGTTCTTATTTTCATGTGGGTTTCATTGAAGATACGAAGCTAGTTGTTGTTTACGTTGTGCGGGTCATAAAAATAATTGTCAACCAAGGAGTTGTGCATTCTACTTAGGAGAGAGTGAAGCGCGTGAAATAAAAATGAGACAATATGAGTTATGAAGACGACAAATACTTTTGTATATATATATTTACGTATATAGTAAGAACTGTATAAAATTAATAAAATGATGAGTCAAGTAAAATAATTTCAAGCGGTGAAGGATTTTTCCCAGCAATGTGGTTTCTTTGGAATAATGTGAGAGAGAGCACTGTATAGTCCATATTGTCATAGATAATTCGTCGATCAAATTGATCATTAAAGAGCGTTTGGGCATGAACATAAAAGTGGTAGTTCCGTTCCATGTCCTTATAAACGGTCTAGAATATTGAATTCCAATCTGAATAAATTATGCTAATAGGTTGCTCTCTTCAATACAATAACGATGCTCTGTAACTGACCTAAGCAAGCTAGCTGTATGTTACAGAGTAAACTGTTTATAGAGAATAATTGTATGATATTTCTTATAGATATTTGTTTTAGTTTATAAAATAGATGGCGTTCTCCAAAGTGTTTGGCTTTACATGACGGCTTTCCAAAAAAACATAATTTTTGGTGAAAAAATTTGCACTTTAGAGTGGCATTTAAAATATTATGTTTACGATAATTACTTGAAAAATATATCTAAGAAGATCTTGTGCAAATTTCAGGTCAATCGGTTCAGCCGTCTCCGAGTTCACCATCTCTGTAAACAGCATTTCGGGAAAAACGCAATTAAAGTTTCTGGTGTCGACTGCATTGAGTTATAATTCTTACAAATACGCTCATATCTCCGAAACTATTTACCGGATCAACTTCGAAGAATATTCTCAAACACTTACCTATACTTTCAATATACATACAATGCAAAAAAAATTCTCTTGTGTGAATGATGTATTACGCCTAGTAAGGAAATAAATGTTTCAAGTTTTATACATCCAATTATGTTAAAAAAGATTACGAATCGGCCAGCATTGATTCCAACAGAGTTCTACAAATAAAATTATTTGAGACTAGGCCATTGCAAAACATATGATAGTAATATAGATGAGAGTATACTTGTATATTAGCACGCAAAGGTCGAGGATAGTATTGTAAATCTTACTTCATGCTCGAAGGAATATTTTCGCTTCAGATTTTTATTAAAAGAAATAAATCTTCTCGGCGCGTATGATTAGAAAAACATCACTAAAAAGAAGGCTGCCAAATATAAGGTCTCGAAAAAATAAATCCAAAAATTTTCTAGTATATAGCTTTGGTAATCTGTTTGCAGCATATATTACTAGACATTTTTTAAACACTTTAAGAAGAATGAGAGTCTGACATGATTTGTATTGGTTGTGAACTTACATATACTATATACAAAAATATATATATTTTACTTATTTCTGGACTTTGATTGCTTGCTCCACAATCTAATGTAAGAGGGTTGACTGAACAATGATATTGAAAATTTTTTGGTAATAATGGGTCTGGTAGAGGGCTTATGCAAATTATAATACATTTCTTACCGTTTATTGGTTTTATTACTAGAAAATATTTCTGAAAATAAGTGAATTTTTATTCAGACAATTTACTGTTTACGCGCCCTTGGAATCACAAACATTGCAACACATGCATTTGTTTGTAACTTTTAGCTCTGAAATAAAATGATACAATTAAAACTAATTGAATTTATTAAACAGATTTAAAAAGTTCGGTTTATTGGCTTTACCGGAATTACATTTAACAAAAATTTAAACTCATCTAAAATAAGTGTGGAAAATGCGAATAAAATTTATTTGTGAATTTTTCATTGAAACTAAAACTATAACCGCAGTTGTCAGTGTGATTGCATAATCATTTGCTACGTTATGCCAATAAAGTTTTATTTAAAATAATGCTTTGGGTGAAATTTGCTAATTTAAACGAATTTCGTTGAATTTTAGTTGTGACACAGAGTGAAAAAGTGGAAAAACAAAACAAAATTATTGACACAAAAATGCTTTTATTTTCTGACATTCATACTTGTATGGTTGCCACATACAGGTATGTAATTATTGCGGCCACTTGTGCGAATATATTAGCCAATAATTGAAATAATTAAATAGATTAATTGTGTTAATTTAATAATACTAGTTAATGACAGCAAACAAAATGAGTTATTTCAAAAAATTTCCCTGCCAATACATGAAATATTCATGCAGTCGATATTAATTGGCAGAATGTGTAAATAATACTTGTTGACATCTATTAGTCTTGTAGTTACATATGTTAGTGCATAAGTGTGCTGAAAAAAAGTAAGTAACCCACTATGTGTAAAAAAAAATACAGAAATGCATGCTTCGACATGAGTTTATATTTATTTATTATAGTTGAAATAAATAGTAAAATATGCCATTTGTGTGAAGTCTAAAAAAAATATACAAGTATATATTGAAGATAAATAATTAAAACTATTATTATGTTTATTTAATTTAATTTTGTAAGCAATATATTCTTTTATAGTCTTTGTGTTTTTGTTTGTTTTTAGACTTGTATAATGTTATATGCTACTATAATTTTTTCTTCCGACAGTATAAAAGAAGCCAAACAATTTCAAAAATATTAAAATACTACATATCGGTACTTATCTAAAAGCTATTTCTAATGGACTGATACTATTGGGTCTATAACTACAATATATTCTAGCAATTTGCCAAGAGTTGTCGTAATTTGATTATTATTCTATTGCTCAAATATTCCGAACATGCATCCGAAAGCTATGACCTCATGTTTCTAAACATGGACACATTGCGTGCAAAGTTTGGCGACTCGTTAATATCGAGAAATGGTCTAGTCAAATTGAAGCCCAGATCTTCCGATTTAACGCCTCTAGATTGTTTTCTTTGGGGGTCTATAAAAGCAAAGGTTTTCGTCAATCAACCAGTAACGCTCGAGAAGCTCAAAGAAAACATTCAGACACTGCAACCGAATTTCCAGCCGGAATGCCGCACCGGGTCATCGAAAATCGTGCTAAACGGGTGAAGATATGCAAACGGCGCCGTGGTAGCTATTTGGTCGACATTTTGTTCAAATCATAAATGGCATTAAAATTATCTGCATAACAAGAAAAAAAATAGGACAACCCATTTTGACCAAATTTGATAGTTGTAAGTCTTGTTGGTAGAACATATAAGTGGTGATTTTGGCTTAATGAAGGCCGTCCTGGGCATCCAAAAAGTAAAAAGATGAGGCACCAGAAGCAACCGGTTATTAACTATTTGCAAAACAGCGGCTGGGAAGTCTTATCTCACTTGTAGCCAGACCTTGCTCTTTCTGATTGGTTCCGGTCGATGCAGAACGGTCTCACTATAATACCGTAAACGTACGAATATAGTTGTAGACCTAATAATGTTATATATTTTTTTATAAAAAGTTAGTCTTTTATTTATATATAAATATTTCTGCCAGATTATTTCTGACTTAAAAATCTTTCACTCATATCAGTATAAAGCGAAAAGCGAATAAATATCATATCATCAATAATCTAAGTATTTTTTTTAGCTTACTGCAGAAACAACTTACAGATCAAATTTTCTCATTATAAGAACTGAACGAGTTGCAAAGTAAATGGGTTGTACCTGAATGATCTGAAGTGAATTCCGCTTTTCGACAAGCAAATTCGACTTATTTTGTCTCGAAGTATGGTTCAGAGCGTTGAAATATCAATATAAAAAATCGTATAAATGAATCATGCTGTCTGAGCATTGAGAATTGGTTAAACATTGCTAGCTCTTTAGCTGGGTAATAGTCTTAAGGAATCTGTATTTGTACACCGTGCTTGCTTTATTTTATTTTATCTTTATTACTTTCAAAGCTTCTATAGCCAAATGGGAACTTTAAACGCTGACAAATTTACTGTTAAAATACGAAAAACCCGAAAAAGCGCTCTCAAATAGATATTTCGGGTATTCTAAATTTTGGAAAGGTTTCAGGTAGTTAATTAAGGTTGACTTTAAACCAAGATTTATTAATTGTTGTTTATTTAAATTAAGTTTTAACTTAAAAGTCAAGAAAGCAAAAAAAAAAGACCAGATTTGATTATTTCATAGCTGGTATGTGGTCAAAACAAAATTTTAAACAAAAACCTAAAATTGAAGAAAAAATTTAGAAATTTTTGAGAACGGGATAAATTATAATTGAAGATAATACTGCAAAGGGTAATTTTACATAATTACAATTCATGTACATACCTCTTAATTGGGAAATGCTTATAAGCAATCACTAAAGTAACGTCACTTTACCGCAGATAAAACTTGTAATTTTTTTATTTTTTGAAAAAGTGTCGCAACGTTTACCCTTGCCCTAATGATTAATAAAAATACAATTTTAACTTTAAATTTACTGTCCACATAATTCAAAATTCCAAATTTTATTTACATTTTTAACAGAAACCTTTATTTTAATATTTAATGAAACATTTTTGCTTTTATTAAGAACCAAAATTATTATATTTTTTGGGAAAATATTTTAAATTCATCTCTTCAAACTTAAGTTTCATGCCAAGAGCACTGCACGTACGCCATTATCCAATTTAATCTACCGACCAAGTTGCCTTAATCTTCCCACTCTCGATCACTTCATCCTGCATTTTGCAATTTTCAAATTGTTTGCCGCCATTAAAGCGTAAAATTGACAACAAACAAATTCATCTTGATTATTGCTAAACGCCAAGCTGTTGCGAATGTTTAACTTTACGCCACGGCTGAGCAGACAAGCGCCAGCAGTTACTACTCACTTTACCTGGCGGAGATCAGCCGCTGGTTGCCAATCGGCGAATATGCAACTCAGCAGTCAAGCGAGGGGAAAAAAATAAACAAATAATGGCAACGGAAAGAAAATAGATGAGACAAGAGTTGCAGGCGGCTAACTGCACTAGACGACGTTGGGGGTTTAAGCAGCAAAGGCAAAAAGTAAGGAAAACCTTAAATGTTGCATACCAATTTGCTCCAGCGTGCACACCTGACAAGCGCGCCACGCACGACACAGCTGTGGTGTAGCATAGACTGCGCGGTATGTGGCATGCTTGAGCACACGTAGCTACACACTCACACATTCACCTTCACAGGCGTTGAAAAAAATGCGAAACCGCCCGCAAAGTCAACCAAGTCAACCAACATTATCCCATTCGATGTCGTGTGGGTCGCTTTTTGTCTGCTTCGTTGCTTGGTTGCTATGGTGGTACTGCTGTTGTTATTGTTGTTGGCAGCATGATAAACGATTATTGAGATTTATATCTATAAGCGTCTTTTGGTTGGCACATTGTTTTCTTGCTTCAACACCCCGCCCAAAATCAACGGCTGAAGACGGACCTGCTAGAGGCTGTAGTTGGCGACGAGGATGTGAACGCGCTACTCAAGCAGCAGCCTTCATTCCAAGTAAGAAATCTAAACTTAACACAAACTATGATGACAAACAAGAAGGTTGAGCGCAAGAAAAATGCTAAAGACGGAAATGAAATTATGGCAGTTGCAGATGCAACAAAAACTTGTGGCAGAAAAGCAGGACTTCGGGTCCATGACGGCTGAGATGGCAGCAAAGGCGGCGGCAAGTGCAAAAACTGAAAAGCTGACACATGCGGTGACTTGGCGGAAAATCAGATACCCACTTCAAGGTGGTGTTGCGTGAAATTTTTTTAACGCTGTTGGCGGCAAGGTCTTGCAATTGTAGGTGTGTTTGCAGTTACGGTGGAGACTAAGAAGGGGAGACAAAGCGAAAAGCGAAAGCGGCGTTCAAAAATATCACAATATATTTGAGGAAATTTCGTGCTTTTTACCTTTGATCATTAAAAATAACGGTTTGCATTCAACGGAAAACGGTTTGCTGATATAAGTAAACTTGAAGTGAACAACTTTATCTTACTTTTGATTTATAGATTTGTATTGCAGCTATATGCTATAGTTATACAATATAAGCGGTTCCGATAAAGCGTATTAGGGAGTAAAGGATATGTACGATATCTCAAAAACTGAGATTCTCGTATTTACAGATGGACTGATTACTGCCTGATGGGTGTAACAACTTCGTGGCAAACTTATTATTCAAGGTATAAACATTTTAGCTAAGTTGGTGTGCGTCTAGGTTCTGTACAGGTTTGTGTCTTCGCTGCATAGCTGATTAAAATTCGGGACTGTTACAAAATAATTTTATTATCGACTTTCTCCTCCATTACTCGAAACGTTTGTGGTTATTCGAATGCTTAACTAGTTCCGAAGGCAACATTTTTCGGAAAATTTCGTTAGGTAAACTTTGGTCAAAACTTATATGTGTATAGAAAACTTATTAGTGAAGATGAACGAATCGGTGATTGTTGATTTGGTTACATGGACAGAATATGCAGTGAGACTGCTTATACCTATCTTTGATTCTTTAACTACTATTTATTTACCGTAATTAGAACTATATTTTGAAATGTAACGTTTGGTAACGTTGCATTCCACTTTCTTAAAAAACTATGCTAAGTCATTCAATTATATGAAGGATTTATTATAGGTTTGGAATAAATATGGTTGTCGAAAACCTTCCTTTGTACTTCGATGGGTTTGTGATATTTACGAGGTGTGTTCAAAACACAACGGAAAGAGGCAGAACTTCGCGGGTTTAGAGAGTCCAAACGTCAAAATTTTTCTTCGTTATTTTTTGAACACACCACATACATTGCACCATCCCATTGAAAAGATCACGAATTTAAATTCGGAAAACTCCATCTTTTTAATAAAGTCTTTCTTAGGATAATCGGGAAAATAAGTGAACTTGAGACCACTTAAATAGAAAAAATTGCTTTATAAATTTTATTACTCGGAAATATATCTAACAACTGTAAAATTTAAAGGAAACGTTTTCCTGCAAAACAAATTTACTCCTTATTACTTTTTCAAATAAAGCCAAGCTACTTGGCTTCGCACTTGTTTGCTAAAGTTGATGACAAAAAATTGCATTTCCGGGCACTGAAGTGGGTGGACAATTTTGAAACAGGTCGCAGGACGTCAACATCAAGAATAATAAAAAATAGCAATAATATAAAAAAAAAGAACGAAAACAAAGCGAAAAGAGTCAACTCAACAACAACAACACCATGTAAATTTAAAACAACAAAGGACCACTGGATGCCAAGCAACCGCATCAGCCAAAGTAAACAAAGCAAAAGGTGTACGCACGAGATGCACACACACACACACACCCGAACATGTGATGGGCCACGGACTGAAGTGAAAAAATGTGCGCAAAAACAAGCAAAGGAGAGATATTTGTTTATATATATAAAAATAGTGTAAATATATTATCCACACATAAGCATAGCAACTATACCCACAGCGCTTGCAACAAGAAGGCAGCAAGTAGCAGCGAGTAAATAGTTGCTTAGAAGCACCGAGACGCCACCGAAATGCTTAAGGAAGCGCAGAAATTGTGGGAAAAGTGAATTGAAGTGGCTACAGAGAAGTGGTAGCCGGAAAAAAAAAACCAGCTGTTTGAGACTGCAGCATCTTTAGGTATGCATATGTGGGTGTGTGAGTGCAGCAGTGGCTCGTTACCACGACAAACGAGCGGGCGTGTCCGAGAGTGCAACGCATATTATTATGTCTAATAAGTAAGAAGCGCAAAAGGAGTCAGGAAAGAGCACATATACATATAAATATATTTGCTTAAGAAGGAAGAAAAATTCACTGCGCTGCATGTGTGTGTGTGTCACGCTTACTTGCAACTTTTTGCACGCGTCTTTGTCGCTACTCGGATTTCAAGTTAAGCAGCAGAAAATTGAAAAATGCACTGCAGGCGACGAGACGTCGTGTCACGTGACGTGAGATGCAAGGGGAGCGAGCAAGGCGATTCTGTGTTGTTGGCCTGTCAGTGAGTGAGGCGTGAAAGGCAAACAGCCCGCGGCGCGCAACAGGCAACATACTCACACGCGCATTGCTGCAACAGCAGTGACTGTGCGGTCACATGACGTGAAAGACAAAGAGCAAAAATGACAACAATAATAGCAACAACAATAATACATAGTAATAATAATAATAAAAGTATCAAACAACAAGTGGCGAATGGCAACAATCAGTGTTTGGCAGCAAAAGTAAAGCAAAGTCAAGTATGCAGGTTGCCACATTCAACAACTGGGAGTAAAATTGCTCTCTGACAGCAGCGCTAGCTTTAGTGGCAGAGTTTAACTGCGGATTTGCCAAACGAAGCGGCTGACAAGATGTGTGAAGGGATTGTGATGTTCTTTAAATTGCTCACCATTGTTGGTTAAAGCTTTGAAAAATGCTTAAAACTTCAACTTTTATAAATACATATTTTAAACTATCAGATTAATATGATTTGTTATATTTTTTTAGGTGATGACATACACCAGTAATACCGCTTCTGATATGCTAAATGGTTCGAAATGAAAAAAAAATTAAGTCGACTAGGGAAGAGTTTATTTTGGCGACGACCCAATTTTGTAATATTGCACTTAACTGAATTGAGTTGTCATTGTGCGTTTTAATACGCTATACAGGGTGTATGAGTGATATAAAACGCATTGGAAACCTGGTGGTCTTAAACTCTATCTAATCAAAACTTCAATCTCAACCTCAATCTCAATTTCAATCTCAATCTCTATCTCAATTTAAATTTCAATTTCAATCTCAGTTTCAAGCTCAAGCTCAAGCTCTATCCCTATCCCTAGCTAAATTCAAACTCTATCTCAATACCAATCTCAATTTCAATCTCTAGCTCAATCTCAGTCTCAGTTTCAATCTCAGACTGAATCTCAGTCTCTATCTTAATCCCAATTTCAATTTCATTCTCAGTCTTAGTCTCAATCTCTGTTTTAATCTCAGTCTTAATCTCAAACCCAAATTCAGTCTCAATCTCTATCTCAATCTCAATTTCAATCTCAGTCTAAGACTCAATCTTAGTCTTAGTCTCAGTCTAAATTTCAATTTCAATCTCGATCTCGATCTCAATCTAAATCTTAATCTCAGTCTCAGTCTCAACCTCAATAATAATCTCAAATTCAATTTCAACCTCAAACTCTATCTCATTATTAATCTCATTCTTATTTACAAGGTCTGGTACTCTCAATAAATGTCGGTTTTGTGTTATTCTCTCTCTTTCTAATTTTATCCAACTCAAAATATTTATTAAATGATAATCTTTAAACAAGATTGCCAGCGGATTTTGTGCTTCAACCAGTCACTGCTTAAAAGATTTGCTAGTGAAAGTGCTACTGCTTAAGCTACTGCCATGTGGCAAGATCTATTCTATGAACAATTGTAGTCAACAAGTCATACACATAGCATAAACTTTCTTCACACACATGCACATACTCAGCACACTTGATTTGTTTCCGTTGCGGCGCACCTTCTCGGTCACAGATCCTTGAATTTTTTTAAGATGTTAGCTGCTAAAAAAAACTCTGAACTTAAGACGTCGTAGCCACTCGAGTAGTGTACTTGCTGCATATATATTTTTCTTATCCTTTCTATTTATATAGTTTAAGGAAGTTGAAGGAAAAAATTGAAATTGCTTGCAAATTAAACAATAAGGAAATTGCAGGAAATCATTGTAGTTGAACAGAGCATAAAAGCGCAAGTAAACCGTGTAATGCAAGCATGTTTGTCTACAGTGGCATTTCAGGTGCTTGCTTGTGCAAATATATGTGCTTGGGTGGGCTCCCATGTGGAGACAGCCAGTTATGCTCCTTGCTTTGTCTGTGCAGCAAATGTGGCGTGACGCTGTGTTGTTTATGTTGATTGCTGCATTTTGCTTAAACTTACCTGCTGTTTACTTACACGCCTGCCAATCTTTGTTGTTTGCACGTTCAGACACACAAGTGTATATGGATTTTTCTACCAATTTCTTCTTTGGGACTTTCAACTCTGTCACAACTGCTTTGTTACTAGTTTTTTTTTGTGAAAATTTACTTTTTTTTACTGTACTTTTTTTTCTAGGGTTTTTATTTTACTTTAACCGTTTTGGAAATTGCTGCGAAAGCGTCCGGTCAATTTAGCCGCTCTTGTATTTCTATAAATATATTTTATTTTAAAGTGTGCAATGTACTTTAAAAATTTGAAAAGGCAATATTTTTACAAAAAAAACAGAAAAAGTATGAATGTAAATGGTATTTATGTAAAGGTCAATACTAATTTAAGCAAGTAAACATTTTATCAAATAACACAGAAGCTCAATTGCATTGATATTTCCAAAAATTATATCGTATTAACATTTTTTGATACATTAAATTTCTTATAACAGTATTTCTTCTTGTATATACTTATAATTTACAACTGTTTTATTTTTATCTTTCAGAAATTGCGTGAAGTGCTTGATGCTGATTTATCAGTCAATAAAGTGGAATAAGAGCAATTCCTTTTCATAGTGAATAATATATAAGAAGAAACAAAGCAAAGTAAGTTAACACTCACTAATTTACAATACTCTTATATGAATAGTGTACATATTCCGAATCCAAAATTTAATACTTAAATCATGTTATGCCCCTTAACACATTTACACCTCAGTTTGGGTTAAAAAATCGAAATCGTTATTAAAAATCTTATTACTTCGAACATCACCTGAAAATTATATGTGAGAAGGCCGAAAATTTGAAGTCGTTCGGTCCAGTCGTTTCGGAGTAATTATCCTTACTGGCTCTGAAAATAGGGTTTCGAGAAAAAAGTGTTCTTATTTGCCAGATCAACTTTAAAGTAATTAAAGGTGGTTATAATATTCAATCAACTTCCATAATACCATAATATTGCCTAATGCAAGCAAGTAAGAATGGGAAGTTATTATTGTAATGCTGTACTAAACATACCAGCTCCGATTAATTGCAATGAAATTGGCGACAAACTAAACATTTTTTAGTTGTTGTTTATAACACTCAGCCGAAAATAGCAACGATAGTATATGACTAGAAGGAAAACAGGATAAATATAAATGTTAATGGTTTGGAAATGTACCGCAACATAAATTAACTCTTCTTCAAATGTCTGACATAGGTTTTGAATATCATCCGGGAGTGTTTCGCTCTCTTCTTGACATTTTTAGTTCAAAATTCAGTTACACAAACACATACGGCTGTTCTGAATATAAATATTATATTATATATACAAGTAATTTCGAAAAAAGTATTGCCAGCTTTTAAAAAATTTAAATTATATTGATTACGGATGCAGCAATACAAGCATGAAAAATAAATTGATAAATATCTATCTATTTTATTATATTTTATTGCTTTATTTGGTTATAATATACTTGCCACTTATTAAACCTCATAATTCGTACTATTGTGTTGTATCTACAATTCGACAAAACTTAAGCGGCGTATGAATATGGTATTTTGCATTCCAATCTGAAAATAAAAAGAAAATATTTTATAAAACTTTATTTCCAACTTTTATCTTACATACGTTTTAAATATGATATTATATTGAACTTAAAATTTGCAATTAAAACTAAAGCATTCTTGATGTGTTTTTTTATCAGAATTTTCCAGCGTTCTTTATTAATAAGTGGCATACTTTCAAGCTGTTAGCAAAATTCTACAATAATTAAGTGGCGTCGCAAAATTATTTACGAATTTAAATTAATTTGAATGTATCAAGTGAAAAAAGTTAGGTTTTATCTACTAACGTTTCCTTTTAAAAGTGTAAAATATATAAGCGTGAGTTTCCAGTGGCAAAATAATGAAATAATTGAAGTTTATTCACTCAAATGCAATACACTTGAATGTGATTGTATAATATCTCTGCAGAAATTTAAAGAATGCCTTAAATATGTATTATACTGGCTTAACGAAATTGGAAAAAAACTCCAATGCAAAAAAAATTATAATCTGGGCATCAAAATAATATGTAACTCATACGCCATGTAGAACCAGCATACGTTTACTTTAAATGGAAGAGCACTTTTGCGGCATAAAAAATGTTTATATTTTTTCAGACTTTAATAATGAATACGCTGCAAAAACTGTTATTGTCCCTGACAAAACACAGTTAAAGCCACAAATTCACAAGCAGAAATGACAACGATTTTTCATAATTAAAAAAGCAGCAAATAATTTGCTTGCATTTATAAAAACGCATTTGTGAAATATTTGCTGCAAATATAGTCAATAAAAGTTACACCATAAACCGCTAAATAGTCAACATAAATTATATAAGCCGCACTGAAATGTGCAACACGAGCTAAAAACGCGCCACATACCCGCACACATAAACACACACACACGCACCTATTTGGCTATTCACATGACGGCGCGCACAAACATGCATGTCGCATACTGTGGCTCAACCAATTCACGCTTAATGTAAAAATATTGTCGTTATTGTTACAACAAGATTTGGTGTTGCACAATGTCGCCCCTTCAGCGTGGCAGAGCGTCATTTCTGGTTTTTGTGGCTTTGCATTTGCTAAATGTCACCAATTAGCCGAAAAATGTCTGCGTATAAATGGCGTGGACAACAACAAAAACAATGCCAATAACAGTAATAGCAACAACAACACCTGCAACAATTACAATGGCAAACCACACAAACATGCAGGATGGCCAGAATGCAACAATAATAAAAAACAACAACAACAACATAAACAAAAATCACAAAATTGTAGAAATACATACGTGAAAAACAAATGGCATGACAAACATGAAACGGATATTGCCGCACAAATGTGGCGGCCATGTGTTGCACAGTGCTGTTGTACACATGTGAGGGCGAGTGTAGCACAAGCCTACACGGCATGTATAAAAACCAATGGCAACAAGTGTAATGCCACACCGTAGCAACAGCAGACATACGACAATAACACCACCACCAGCAACAACAACAACAACAACTACAATAACACATAGTGCAATAACGAGCCTGATCGTTTGAAAAAACACAGCGCTTTCCGCCTCATCGACTGCGATGGATGCAATGAACTGCACAATCTGTTGCATGCACCAAAATCCATGCGCGGCCAATAAAGACATCAGCGACATTGGTAGCAATAACAGCAAATACAAGGACAAGCAATGCAACGACTAATGTACCAAGAATATGTGTGGCTTGCAACATTACTATGTGTGGCATGCAACACAACAACATACATACATATATGTAGTTGGCTCATCAAGCCGCCTCATAAAATCGAACTGCATGGCTATTTAATGAATTGCAATGATTTTTTATTGTTGCTACGTGTTGCAAGTAGGCTGTTGCATTGTCGCTATAACCTTTTGAACTGTGTTATGTGCGCGGTTAGCTGAAAGTAGTGAGTTGGTCATATTTGTGTGAACGAAAATATTTTTACATTTTTGCATATACGCTTTTAAGGAAATGGCCAGTCGGACTTCATTGCTGCTTTGTCGAATTTTGAATTCAAGCGTTAATCACAAGCATTCTTTAAGTAACATTTTCTTTTATGATAAACTATTTCACATTTTAAGATTCTGAGTGAATTCGATTTGAATTAAATTGGTATAAGAATTAGTGGTTGTACCTACATTGCGTATGAGTAACATTCATATTTAATTTAAATTTTTATTTTTATACCCTGAAAAGGCTCATATTAAGTTACCCACAAAGTTTGTAACATTCAGAACAAAATGTCGGCGACACTTTAAGTGTATATATATATAAATGATCAGCATGACGAGCTGAGTTGATTTACCCATGTCCGTCTCTTTGTCCTTCTATCTATCTATATACACGAACTAGAAGTTTTTGAGATATGTATTTCAAATTTTGCACACGTCCTTTTCTCACTAAGAAGTTGCTCATTTGCCGAAACCGCCAATATCGGACCACTATAGCTATTGTATATAGCTGCCATACAAACTGACCGTTCAAAATCAAGTTCTTGTATGGAATCTTTTGTATTTGTGAAGCATATTACAGCGTCGGTGCAAACAAAGTTAACGTTGTTTGTTGTTTTTTCCATCTTGTGAATCCCTCAGAAAGCATGGTTTGCTGTTTGGTCCTTTACAGATTTTTTAAGTGAAAACATAATGTAATAGAGAAACTGCTAACAGCAATGCTTTTGCGATAGTAGTTTACAATAATTTTGTATCTATTTTATTTACACTCTTTAAAAATACTTCCGACAGAAAAATTTGATAAAATTGTTTACTTGATGCCATGATTGTAATATTTAATTTATTTCGTTTTGTCATTTGAATGAAAAAATCAGGAAACAGCTGGCAACCCTTTCTAAATTATCTTTTATGTTCGTAAATTCACTTAATTTATATTTTAATAATTCATCACTCCAAGGATATTATTTAAAAAAGAAAAAAAAAATTTAAATAGGTGGCAACCCTTTTCAAAATTATTTTTATTATAAGTACTTTTAAAGCTCGTTATCTTGGTATCCATAATTTATCAATACAAAAATGTATGCAAAATAAAACATCGTTAAACAGGTGGCAACCCTTTTAAAAACATACTTTCAACCAAAAGTATTTTCAAATCCCTTTGGTTTGCTACTCATATTTTGGAATACTTTACTTACAAATATTGAAACAGATGGCAACCTTATAACAATTTTTATGCAAACCATGTGAGTTTTGCAACGAACATAAAGATATACTAAAATCGGTTAGTTTCAAAAAGTTTCGCTTCCTGAAATTACTTTTTATGTTAGTCGGATGGAAGGTCATGGTGCCATAATATCATGCTGGCTGCCCTTTTTCTTTCTCTTCATTATGTCCTTCGCTTGGTATTAGTTTCAAAAACGAAGCTCCTCGTGAATGTAAAAAGTAAAAAAAAACAACGTGTAAATAAAAACCTCAATCAAATGCAGAAAAGTAAAGACAAAAGCAAAGCGAGGAAAAAACATTTAAAATGCAACCAAAACTAAAACCAGCAGCAAAAATGAAGATGCAATGAAACAGTAAATAATTCACTTAAAATCAAATAAAATTTAATTTACTCGCACAACGGAAATGCACACAGCAGACCACTTACAAATACACACGAGCGCACAAGCAGTAGCTATTATAGCAGTACCGCTATAACACTTAAGTGTGTGTGTGTGTGAATGTCTCAGTGCAAGCGATTGTACGTGCAATGAAGCTGCCATGGAGCTTAACCAAGCAAACAACCAAGTGTCCTACACTTCTCCTCCATACCCCGACTGGCCTTCACGCCAGATTACCGCTTTTAACTCGGCGCTGAACCAAACCGCTTGCAAAAAAAAACCAACAAAAGAAGTGAAATGAATGCTAAATAACAACAAAAATGAATGGGAATAGTCCAAACAACAGCAGCAACGGAGCAACACAAATTTGTAAGAGACGCCGAGTGGGACGCTAGTGTAGAGAGCTTTTAGTTGGAATGTACTGTAAATGCTCCCTGTGGCATCGTGCGCCTTTTTGCATGTTTATGTCGCTTAGTATTTATTGCGCTATGCACCTGAGTTGCA